TTATCCTTGCTCCTGTTGATGTGATGAAAAATATTAATTGATTTGCGTATATTGAACCTGCTTTGCACCCCTGAAATGAATCCTTTTTGATCGTGGTCTATGATTTTTTAGATGAATTGTTGAAGTCGATTGGCCAAAATTTTGTTGAGAAGTTTTGCATCAATGTTCATCAAAGAAATGGGTCTATAGGTCCCTTTCTTTGATGAGTACATGTCTGGTTTGGGGATGAGGTTATTTTAGCTTCATAGAATGAATTTGGTAGTGAACTTTGTCTTTCAATTTTCTTGAATAGTTGAAGGAGTATCGGTGTGAGTTCTGCTTTGAAGGCCTTGTAGAATTGCTCTGTAAAACGATCTGGTCCTGGGTTTTTCTTAGATGGGAGGTCTCTTATTGATGTTTCTATTTCAATGCATGATATTGGCCAGTTAAGATGGTTTAACTCATCTTGGTTTAGTTTTGGCATGTCAATATTTGCTAGGAAAAGATCCATTTCTGCTAATTTCTCAAAATTATTAGCATAAGGGTTTGAGAAGTATTCCCTTATAATATTCTAAATCTTGGTTGTTTCTGTGGTGATGTTTCCATTCTCATCTCTGAGTTTATTTATTTGGGTGTGTTCTCTTCTTTTTCTGATAGGATTTGCTGAAGGTCTGAATTTTGTTAATTTTTTTTGATGAACCAACTCTTTGTTTTGTTGATTCTATGGGTATTTTTTAATTAGTTTAATTTTGATTTAATTTTAATTGTTTCTTTCTTTATATTGGATTGGAATTCATCTTCCTGCTCTTTTTCATGAAGGTTCAGATGTCTGATTAAATTGTTGGTTTCAGTTCTCTCCAATTTGTTTATGTAGGAACTCAGAGTTATAAACTTGTCTCTGAGTAATGCCTTTGCTGTTTCCCAGAGGAGCTGGTAATTTGTGTGTTCATTTTTGTTGAATATCATGAACTTTTGAATTTCCTTTCTAATCCCTTCCATGACCCATTTGTTATTGAACAGTGTGTTGTTCATCCTCCATGTGTTACAGAACTTTCTTTTTTGGCTTTTGGTGTTGAGTTCTAATTTTATTCCCTTTTGGTCTGAGAGAATTTAAGGTATAATTTCAATGTTTCTGAATTTGGACAAGTTTGCTTTGTGACCTAAAATGTGGTCTATTTTGGAAAATGTTCCATGTGCTGCTGAGAAAAACCTGTATTCTGATGCTGCTGGGTGAAATATTCTGTAGATGTCTGTTATATCTAGTTTATCTATGTAGTTGTTAAGATCTGAGGTTTCTCTTGAGTGTTTGCCGACTTGATCTATGTAGTGGGGATAGTGGTCCGTTAAAGTTCCTTATAATTAATATCTTAAGACCTATTTGAGATTTGAGGGAAAGTATTATTTCTTGGATAAATTTGGGTGTTCCGGTGTTTGGCGAATAGATATTTAAATTGTAATATCCTCCTGAAGGATAGATCCCTTAATTAGTATGTAGCGACCTTCTTTATCTCTTCTCATTAATTTTAATTTGAAGTCTATTTTATCTGATATTAGGATTGCAACTCCTGCCTGTTTATGGAGGCCATATGCTTGGTGGATTTTGTTCCAGACTTTCACCTTCAAAATGTGTTTATTTTTATGAGTATGGTGTGACTCCTGAAGGTAGTGAGAAGGATCTTGCTTTTTTATGTAACTAGACACTCTACGTCACTTATTTGGAGGGTTAAGTCTGTTAATGTTAACAGTTAGGACTGCGGGGTTTTGGGGAGTTCCTGGATGTTATCTACCTTCTTGGGGGCTATGGCAACTGGGTTCTTCCTATGGTTCTTGAATTCTCAGTTTGGGTGCAGTTTCTGGCCTCTATTGTGGTCTTGTTGGTTTTCTATGTGTAGGATATCTTTAAGTATCTTTTGTATGGCTGGTTTGATGAAGATATGTTTGTTTTTCTTTGCTATGGAAGGTATTTATTTGACCTTCAGATATGATGGAGAGTTTAGCTGGGTATAGTATTCTTGGTTGATATTTGTTTGTTTTTAGGGCATGGCATACATCATTCCAGGCTATTCTTGCTTTAATTGTCTGTGCTGAGAAATCTGAAGTGATTCTAATTTATTTCCTTTTATAGGTTATTGTTCTCTTCTCATTGACAGCTTTTACATCTTTTCCTTGGTCTGAATTGATCTTGTCTGGATTATAATGTGAGGGTGGGTTGTCCTGTTCTGATCAGTTCTATTTGGAGTTCTAAAACCTTCTTGTATCTGAGTAGGGCTATGTTTTTGCATGTTTGGGAAGTTCTCTGTTAAGATCCTGTTAAACAAATTTCCTAGACCATTAACTTCTGTTTCTAGAAGCTCGTCTACACTCATTATCCTTAGATTAGGCCTTCTGATGGTGTCTTTCAGATGTTGCATAGGTCTATCATATTTTTGGATTTGTCTTGGATGGTTGTATGTTCTTTCTCTATAATATCTAGGCTGTCTTCAATCCCCAAGATTTGATCTTCTGCATTATCTAACCTACTGCCAAGACTTTCTGCTTTGTTTTTTATTTCTTTTCCTTCTAATTGGTCGGCTTTGATGACTTCAAATTCCTTGTTAGAGCTTTGTTTTAGATCTTGTATAAACTTCTCTATATCCTTAATTTGGTGTTTGGTGTTTATTCTCAAATCACTTAGTTGATTGGTTATGGATTCCCTGGTCTCCCATTCCTTTTGTTTTGCTCCTTCTGCATTCCCTTGGTGGTTTCCCTGAATTCTTTCAGCTCTCTGTTTATGGATTCCATGAATGCCTTTAGTGATGTTTGTCTATTCTCATCCTGCTCTCTCATTTCCTGTATTACTCTTTGATTAGCTTCCTCATGTTCACGCTACTCCTGTAGTTCTGTTTGACTGTTCTCAGCCTGCTCATGCCATTCCTTACATTCTCTTTATCTGTACTCAGTCTGCTCATGCAATTCCTGTCTATCTCTTGGACTGTTCTCAGCCTGCTCATGCAATCCTTTTATTTGTCTTTGAGTGTTCTCAACCTGCTTATGCAATTCCTGTATCAATCTTTGTGTAGCTTACTCATGATCATGAGATTCCTGTATTGATCTTTGGCTTGCCTCCTCTCTCCCTATCATGCTCATACTGAGTCCTCTATAGGTTTTCAATCTTTTTATTCACTATATTTGCCAGTAGTATTTGTATAGCTTTTTGGAACTCTCCTTTGGATTATTCATTATCTTTTCTGTCCCCTGATTATCATGAGTGGGAGTTGAGATTCCCGGACTTGCCATTTTTCTTGTGCTTTTTCGGCCTGTTCTGCCCATTGGTATGAAAGTAACACCAGTTTTGTGGTAGAACACTATTTTCAGGCAAGTATCAACCAAAGTCCTGTAGTTGCTCATTCAAAAGTCTGCAGATACAATCTAGTTCAGCAGATACAATCTATTCAACATTTAAACAACTATGTTTTAATGGGCTAAGAACAGCAAAGAAGAATTTGGCAAAGCAGAAATTATTAGGTTTAGGGAGAATTATGGGAAAAATAAGATTAGAGGGATGTGGAAAGGTAAAAGGAGAGTGAAATTAACCAAATCATAATCTCATAGAGGGAAATGGATTGGACAGAATGATAGGAGAGAGAGAAGGGAAGAATAAAAGAGAGAGACAAGAAAATATGGAAGAACAAAAATTTAAATGTAAAAAGTGAAACACTTAAAATTTTGCAATTTTAAAGAAGCAATATTGAGAGACGATCGGGATAGGATGAGAGGTGGAAAGATATAGAAAGGAGACATGAAAAAATAAAAAAACAAAAATACTTAAAATGTTACATATTTATAAAGAGATAATACTGCTGTTAAGGTATTTAAGCCTAAGAGTTTTCGAATTGAGTAACAAATTTCTGGATTAAGTGTACACAATGGGGGATAATCGATGGCAGGTATATCTGAGATGAGCAGAACAGCAATTAATGCACACAAAAACGAATGAAAGAGAAAAAAAGTGAAAAGAATGAGAAAGAAAGAAAGGACCAAAAGTTCAGTAGAGATGTAAAAAAGCACACACACATATACACCTAAAATAAAAATTATAAGAAGAAAAAAAGATGAATAGAAAACAGATTTAATTAATTTTTTAAAAGGTACAAAAAAGGAGTTCTTTGTTTGTTTTGTTGGGGGGTGGAGATGGGAAGATCCTGTATGTCCTTGTGTCTGGAACCAGTCCCTTGGTGGAATCTCTGGTCTGCTTGTGGTGTTTGGTTTTCCTGTGGCTTGATTGGTTTCTTAAGTCAGTTTGTTTGAGCAGGCAGAAAAATGCTCTGATTTACCCAGGATTTTGTGATCCTCCTCCCTGGCTACTTCAATGGGAGGGAAATCTGCTTTGAGTATCACAAAAGAGGGAGATGGCTGTTTTCTCTAGTTTGGAGATGCTGTGATGAGCCTAGGTTCTGGGTAGAGTTGAGGCCTTTCAGCAAACAGCAGCTTTTCCCTGAGGAGCTAGCTTCTGAGAAACTCACAGAGCCCAGCCTGGAGCCATTCTCAGGGTTTATGCTTACTGGATTTCAATTGATTGCCTGGGCTGCTGTAGGGAGTGGCGACCTCTGGCTCTGTTTACCCAGTGAAGAAAGCCACACCTCCGGGGTTGAACTTTCACTGCTTAGGCTGGGTGAATTTTTCCTTGGTGGAGTTGAGCCTGGCAGGTCTGGGCAGGTTCATGTGACCTGCTAAATAACTCTTTTGTTTTCTCCCAAGGCCTGATTTGGAGCTAGCTGCTCAGCCTGGCCTTTGTCTGTATCAGAGATGGAGATCTCTAATAGTAGTGGGAAGGAGAGGTGGCCTTCCCTCCTCTGCTCCCTGAGAAGGAGTGAGGATGTCAGGGTTCTACTCACACCACCGGAGTCTTGGTTCCTGGGTCGTCTCTGGTCTGTGAACTGCAGAATGAAGCTATCTTCTCCTTGTCAGTTCTTGCTGGTGTTGAGTAGAATCTGCTCACCCACTGTGTCTGGTGCCTTTGTCCTGGACTCTCTGTGTTGTAGGTATGGTGGCTATGGCGGCTATGGCTGCTGGTGCCAATGCCGCTACCATGCCACGACTGTTGACAAGTGCTCAGATTTGTCTCCTTGCCTGGATTTTCCCTCTCTGGCCAAACTCTCCGTACTGTGATAACATACATGGTGTAATTCTCTGGCCTAGGACTGTTCACTGAAACACTAAAACTGCTCTCTATGCGAGAACTTGTTTAGCCTCCTGCTTCTCCTCTGCCATCTTCCCAGAACTCCTCTAGATGGTTCTTTAATCAAGTGAAGTTTGTGTATTACTTATGTTTCCATCTTAGTGTACCATAGTCTTCGCTGCTATTTAATTGTGGTGTGAATGTATTAAGACATTATGCTTTTTTTTGGGGGGGGGGTCCGGTCGTGGGGCCTGAACTCTAGGCCTGGGCACTGTCCCTCAGCTCTTCAGCTCAAGGCTAACGCTCTACCACTTGAGCCACAGCGCCACTTCCGGCTTTTTTCTGTTTGCTTATGTGGTGCTGAGGAATCGAACCCAGGGTCTTGAGCATGCAAGGCAAGCGCTCTACCACTGAGCCACCTTCCCAGCCCGACATTATGCTTTTTATAAACAAGTGTTGGTTTATAAAATTTTAACTGTTTTCATCTAAGATAATCTCCTTTATTATAAGCAATGTTGCTTCTCGGGCTCAAGACTGTATCCCCAGCTATTCAGGAGGCCAAATTGTGAGGATCCAGGTTCAAAGCCAGCCTAGCAGAAAAGTCCATGAGCCTCTTATCCCCAATCCATTACCAAAAATCAGAAGTGGAGCTGTGGCTCAAAGTGGAATAGCACTAGCCTTGAGCAAAATGAGTTCAGAAACAGCACCAAGGCCCCACTAGTTACAAGAAAGAGAGAAAGAAAAAAGAAACAATGGTTCTTATAAGCAAAATGTTGGTTGAGTACTGGGAAGGTGGCTCAGTGGTAGAGTGCTTACCTCACATGCATGAGGACCTGCAATCGATTCCTCAACACTGTGTAAGTAGAAAAAGCCGGAAGTGGTGCTGTGGCTCAAGTTGTAGAGCACTTTCCTTGAGTTCAAGAGCTGAGGGGCAGTGCTCAGGAAGGGAGCTCAAGCCCCATGACTGGCAAAAAAAATGTTGGTAAAGTCTCAATGTTCTCTCAAATAATTGTGAGCATCATTAATCATGCTACTAATTAATAACATTTTATGGAATTCTTTTTTTTCTGTTGGTTCTTGGGCTTATCCTCAGGGCATTGGAGCTGTGCATGAGCCTCTTTTTGCTCAAGGCTAGTGCTCTACCTCCTGAGCCACAGCCTCACTTCTGGTGTATAAGTGATTAATTAGAGATGAAAGTCTCAAGGGGACTTTTCTGCCTGAACTGGCTTCAAATGGCAGTGCTCATGCAGCTTGTTCATCCTTGTTTTGTTTTCATGCTATTTTTTGTGTCACAATAAAATCATCATAGATTTCCTAGATATGGAAGAGATGACTGAAGCCAACATTGAAATGGGGGTTGTTTTCCTCACTCAGACTGCAGCTGGGGTCCTGGGGAACTCCTGTCTCCTTTGTTTTTACAGCTACACTCTCCTCACTGGACAGAGGTGAGGCCCACAGACCACATCCTCAGCCATCTGGTCGTTGCCAACAACTTGGTTGGTTTATCCACTGGGATCCCGCATACAATGGCAGGATTTGGATGGAAGTACTTCCTGGATGATGCCGGATGTAAACTTGTTTTGTATTTCCACAGAGTAGCCAGAGGGGTTTCTTTTAATGCCACCTGTCTTCTGAGTGGCTTCCAGGTCTCAAAGCTTTGCCTTGGATCTGAATCTTCCTGATTGAACCTTCCTGATTGAACCTTGCATGTGTGAGCCACTGCATCCACCTTGGATCAATCCTTTATTATTTTTAATAATAATAATAATAATGGGCCTTGAGCTCAGATCCTGGGCACTTCTCTGGAGCTCTTTTGCTCAAGGTTAACACTGTACTATTTTGGTCCACAGCACCACTTCACACTTTTTCTGAGTAGTTTATTGAAGAGAGGAGTGTCATGGACTTTCGTACCAGGCTAGGTTTGAATTGAGATCCTCATATCTCAGCCTCCTGGGTAGCTGCGATTACAGGCATGTGCCACCAGAGCCTGGCATAAATTCTTATCTTTAAAATTATTAAATGAGTGTATACTAGATGGTGTTATGTAACAATCTGTGTGAAACTGACTGAAAGCAGATTATGGCAGTATCTCAGAAGGGAAGTTCCTGACTATGCAAGGCCTCAGATTTGCTGCCTGAACCTAAAATAAAATAAAGTTATAGAAAATTTCAATGTAGGTAATGTGGCCTAATGATCTTTTACTGTTAGTTCAGTAAAAAAAATGTTGCATAAGGTGCAATTACTAATTTGCAGTAACTGAGATACAAGATGAAGAATGTTTTCACCCTATTATGCAGGAATTACACATCATTTTTCTTCATTACCTCATGAATTGTGCTGAGTAAGTGTAATGAGAGGAAGTATTAAACTTGGAAATAAATACTTGGAAATACTTAGGACAAAATCAAAGTGTTATTACCTATTGTTTTGTCACATACATACCTGAAAACATATTACCTTGAAGCATATTTAGATCCAGCAACTTCAGGTAAGAAGAGTATTCTAGAAAGTTCTCTTCTTTGTATCACAGGTATTTCAGAGATCTGAAGACATCCGCCATGTTTGACCTGGACCAGGAGATATGGAGTCAGGTCAAGCAGTAAACTTGTGTCACTGCTGGTTCCTAAATATAGCCCCCATCAGTCCATAATTCCATCCTGCCCTAAAATTAGGACAGACTCTGTTTGAGGCCTAACCTCATGCCCAATATCAGAAGATCTACTTAGAGATGATTCAGTTGATATTCAACCAAGACCTGGTATGCATTTGACAAAAATATTTTCATAAGTTTTTATTTTATTAAATTGCTAGAAATGGTTCCTACAATTCACATCATTTTACTGTGTTGATTGTAATAGGTAAACAACTCTTCAGTGTTTGTCTGCAAGAGAGAGAGACAGAGAGAGGGACACAGACAGACAGACAGACAGGCAGACAGACAGACAGACAGACAGACAGATTGACTGAGAGAGGACAGAGAGAGGATAAGAATCTTTGGGACTTTTCTGCCCAAGCTGGCTTCAAACTATAATCTTCAGATCTCAGAATCCTGACTAGTTTGGACTACAGTCTTGAGCTACAGGCATTCATTTTTTTATTTTTTCTTTTTCATTTCTTTTCTTTCTCCTTTTTTTTCCGGTCATGGGGCTTTACCTCTGGGCCTGAGCACTGTCCTGCAGCTCTTCATCTCGAAGCAAGCACCCTAAGACTTGAGCCACAGCACCAATGCTGTTTTTCGGGTGGTTTATTGCAGACAAGAGTTTCTGGCCTTGATCCATTCGTCTACTGAGGGGCATCTGGGTTGGTTCCATATCTTACCTATAGTAAATAATGTTGCAATGAACATAGTCGTGCTGGTAGCTTTAGTGTTGTCCTGTTTGTAAACATTTAAGTAAATGCCCAAAAGTGGGATATACACAATGGAATTCTATGCCTCCATCAGAAAGAATGACATTGCCCCATTTGTTAAGAAATGGAAAGGCTTGGAAAAAATTATATTAAGTGTAGTAAGCCAGACCCAAAGAAACATAGGTCCCATGGTTTCCCTTATTTGCAATATCTAGTATATGTCTCAGTCAAGCAGAAAAGGTCAGATAAGGTGATGTTAGGGAAACGACCCTAAGATATGTATTCAAATGTTATGTTTCTTTCATGCGATTGTTTCTAACACATTTATAAGATTATTTCTTTGTTGCTTTGTATGTCCCTCCCCCACAGTACAACGCCTGCTTTTACTGTATTTGATGTTGTTATAATTTGTGGAGGGTAAGGGAAAAAACAAGTCGTTTAAATAAGGATACAGGTGGACCCATTGCAACAATTAGATGTATAAGTCGTTATATCGAAAACGAACTTTACAACTTTCATGGGGGGGTGGGGAGAATTCGGTGGGGGGGGGAGGATGGGAAGGGGAAACAAAGGAGGAGGCTACAATGCTTGATAAAAATGGACTCATTATCTTGCCCATGTAATTGTAACTCCTCTGTACAGTATTTTCACAATTAAAAAAAGTAAAGAGTTTCTGGCCTTTCATGCACCGGCTGGCTTTGAACCATTATCCTCATATGTCAGCCTCCTGAGTAGCTAGGATTGCAGGCATAATCCACCAGCACCCAGCTTTTTTCTTTTAACCTTAATGATTTGCTAAGGAAAGAAATTACTTAGTGTAGAAAAAAGAAATGCACTTCAAATTCACCAAAACCATTTGCTCAGTTTATACTCTTATATAATGGATTTCCTTTTTCTCTACTCACTTCTAATGAGATAAGCGTCAAAAGTTCCGCATATTCCCAGGACTTTCCTTACCATAGGTCACATCTGTTGGAAATGGTCGTGGAAGTTCAGTGGTACTCAGTATCCACAATTCTCCACTGTTTGTCATAGGGAAAGTCTGTTCTCCATGCACACAGTGTCACCACACTTCCAGGTGACATGATGAGCACGCCCACAGAGGAAATGAGATCACACTGTCCTGAGTCTTTTTCTTGAGGCTCTGTGGCTGAGCACACATGCTGTGACCACCACTCTGCCTCTCTTTCCTGACAGCCAATTCCTATTGGGTAAGCAGCTATTCTTCTCAGGCAAGTGAAAGTAGTAAATGGAACTCATCAAGAAAATTCAGAAGTAACTTCTTTGTAAAATGTGTGCTGTGTGGGGTTAGAATGAGGAACATGTCTTGAATTTTAGGAAAAATATTTGGTAAGAGTCACAAGCCTGTCTCCTGCCTTGGTGCAGCTCCACATCCCTTCATATCCTGGACACCACACCACTTTGTGTGCTCAGGGTTACATCCACAAACTTCGTTGTCATGAGTAATGTCTCAATGTGATATCTCCCTACATTTAAAGCAATACCATATTATTTGATGATAGACATTGGAAGAGATTTTGCAAAAGAAGAAATTGTCACCTGACAAATTATTCTATGCATGTATGAAGCTAATTGACTTTAATTAAAAATACTTTGGTTTGTCATTTATATTCCAGCCACTTTCCTCAAAGTGTTCTCTTTTCCTTTTTGTTCTCTCTTATTGCCCTTCAACTTATTTAAGGGTATTTTTTTGTCAGCTATGGGACTTGAACTCAGTGCCTGGGTGCTGTCCTTAAACTTTTCTCTCAGGGATAGTGTTCCACCTTCGCTACACAGGATTGCTTCTAGTTTTTCCTGTTGGTTATTTGGACATCAGAGTCTTGACTTTCCTTCCTGGGTTGGTTCCACACCTCAGTCCTGACATCTTAGACTCCACAGTTGTTAAGATAACAGTCATGGGTCTCCAATGTATAGATTAGGTAGTTCTGTTTCAGATGAAAACTTTTGACCTGATATTCTATTTCATGGGTAAATTTATCTATGTACATGAGCAGAAAGCTCTTCATCCCATCCTTTCTGCATCTTTGAGAACTGTTTATGATCACAGAGATAGAGAGTGCTCTTCTCCTGAGTCACTGAAGAGCCTGGAACATTCAGAAACCAGGCCATGTGAAACATGCAGGATAAGGGCTTGAACTCAGGGCCTCAGAGTCTTGCTTAGTTCTTCTCTCAAGACTGCTGTTCTATCACTTGACACACATTTCTACTTCTGCCTTTTGTGGGTTAGTTGTGAATAAAATGTCTTGTGGATTTGTGTGCTCAGGCTGGCTTCAAACTGTAGTCCTCAGCTCTCAACCTCCTGGCTTCTTTGGATTTCTTTTTTGAAATTGCTAAAGTAAATTCAGACTATACTTCTTGGCTAATAAACTACCAAATTGAAATTTGTGCAATTTCTGTGTATCCTTCATATACAATAGGTCTCTGTAGTTTGTGATGTGGATACATTAAGACATCACCCTTTTCTTTCCATCTTTCTTATAATTAAGTGTTGTTTTACCAAGTTTTAATTGGTTTTCTCTTGTTGTGGGGAGGACCACCAGGAGAGACCATGCAGACATAGAGTACAGTCAATAGAAAGTCTTTGTTAGCCAGCTTGTGACCACACTAGGACTTTGTGGTCCCCCAGTGCAGTTCCAAGCCTGATCTCAGGGTCCTTTTTAAAGCATAAAATCCAGCCATGCACCAGTGGCTCACACTTGTAATCCCAGCTACTCAGGAGGCTGAGATCTGAGGATCGTGGTTCAAAGCCAGCACAGGCAGGAAAATCATTCAGACTCTTATTTCCAATTAACCATTAGAAACGTGGAAGTGGCACTGTGGCTCAAGTGGTAGGCAATGGCTTTGAGCTGAGGAGCTGAGGTAAAATGCCCAGAGTTCAAGGCACATTACAGACCAAAAAAAAAAAAGAAGCAGAAAACCCACCTCTTTGCTTAGTCTGGGGTGAAGAGTCCCTCATGGTTCTTTCCTACAGGTGCAAGCCTGTAACGCAGTGCTGTAAGCAAGCATTGAGCAAGGGCAACATGACCTGTTTCTATGACAATCTTGGTGATCATTACCTAGACACCATAAAGGAAGCAGTGAACAAGGGGTAACAATATCTTTAATATCAAACCATAAGGAACAAGGTACGAATGCTGTCCTTTCTTTAAGATAGATTTACAAAGCATAATGGAGTGTCAGAAGCTCAGAGTAAAGTCTAA